CCCTTTTGATCTGAAGCCTTGGGGTATAGATAACTGAGACTCCCGGTCATTTATAAACAGTAGCAAAAAAAAAAATGTTTGGGAACCTCTGTCTTGGGAGGATGCTAGATCAAAAGACACCAGGCTTCTGAACGTCTCCGTGGAGGAGAGTCCCTTGCTAATTAAGGCCTCCCACACTGGATGGGTAAAATAATAAACTTTTGCTGCATTAACCCTATGGAGTTCCTTATCACAGATGACATCGCCCTAAGTGATGCCCAGAGTATGTGGGAATCTTTTCCTGAGGCCACAGGTAGTGACAGCAGATAACTCGCAATCCTGATAGTAATGAGCCAAACCACAGCCCGCTGAGAGCCGCTAAGCCAAGAGAGGACTCCGTAAACAGGTACTCGTGCCCAGGCAGTACACAGCTCCCCTCTCCGTCTTGAGCTAAGACTGACCTCCAGGCAAAGGAGGACACAGACAAGGCAGAGGAGGCTAAGGACTTGGCTTCTAGTTCCCTGTCTGTGACTGTGATACAAACCCTGACTGAAAGTCACTTAGAGAGGAGAGGGTTTGTTCGGCTTACGCTTCTAGGTCACGGTCCATCCCTGGAAGTCGAGGCAGGGTCTCAAAGCAAGAATCTGGAAGCAGGAACCATGGAGGAACACTGCTTGGTAACTCACTCAGGCTCCTTCTCAGCTGGCTTCCTGCCATAGCTTGGGACCACATTTCCAGGGAATTTTGTCATCCAAGGTGGCCTGAGCCCTCCTTATCCACTAACAATCAAGGCAATCCCTCAAAGACATGCTCACACAGCCAACCTGGGGAAGACAATTTGCTCAGTTAAGACTCTATTGTTAACTCTGTCAAGTTGACAGTTAATCTATCTAGGACAAAACCAAATGGCATTATGCAATCACAAATTAAAAGCAGTGTTCTTCCATCAGAAGGTAAATTGTGTAGGGTTTGTGCTGGGTTTGGTTTTGAACTAGGTTCCCAGTAGCTCAGGCTGGCCTTGACTTCATGAACCCCTGCTTCAACCTCTTCCCACTTCCCTTTGCTGGGGTGATGGTACAGCAGTTTGGGGTTCCCTGCCTACTGGGTCAGGAGCCTGAGTCCCTGTGGTACTGCTGAAGTGGCTACTGCATGCCCATTGGCCATCTCCTTAGGGCACACTTGTTACCAGGGAAATCGGGATCCTATCCTGAGTTCTTATAGATCTGGAAGGAATGGTAAACATGCCAATTTCAATTCCCAGCTCCTACATGGTGGAAGCCACAAAACAACTCCCGAAGGTTACCCTCTGACATCCACAGGCAAGTTGCAGCATAGGTACCTGCTTCACAATGGAATTAGAAATAGATGTTTTTAAAAGTTTATTTATTTGAATTTTCACTTATTTATAAATGAATAATTTTTTTAAAAAAAATTTAAAAACAAATGCAACTACTAACCCTAGAACAAAGCGCACAGACACACACACACACACACACACAAAACTATAAAGCAGGCTCAGAATGAAGCTCAACGAGTTTGTTGGTTTTTGTTTTTTATTTTGCTTGGTCATTTTTTGTAGATTTGAAAGAACACCACAAGGGCAGCGCAGACAGGCAAGCAAGCTATAAATCTCAGCGGCTGCTAGAAGGAGGTGGCAGAGACTGACTTTTTGAATTGAAGTTCAAGAGAACCAGTATGTTCAGCAGTCAAGGAAATGCATGAGAGGTGGAGGGCTTCAGAGAAAGAGGGAGAAAGCCCAGAGTGTCAGAGAAAGCATGGGCCAGTGCAAAAGGAAAAAAGAAAAGAGGAAAGAAGTTTTATTTTGTCTTGTTGGAATTCAGAATGGGTCAGTTGCAAGCTCTGTAGGAGCAGCAGGTGAGGGCAACAGGTGAGGGGTGGCAGGTGAGGGGTGGCAGGTGAGGGGCTTCCAGGAAGGACAAGACAGGGGTAATTATTTCTCCCGTCTCCTTAGTACATCTCTAGGTAAATCAGTTTTCCGGAGGCTCAGTCTCCAGGCCAGGTGGTTGACAGGCCCAGCTACCGACAACAGGATGTGATGTTCTAATCTTTGGAGCAAAGATGAACGTCTTTGACCCGGCGCCAGAAGCAGAACTCAGAGTCCATTCTCTTGGAAAGGAGGAGACAGCTCTCCCCAAAGGGCCTCCACTAAGACCACCACTTTTTCTAAATCCTAAGGAGGGGCAGTGGTGTTGTTTTCCTGTCTAGTGTTTAAGACTGGGGTGAGGGTGGGGGGGTCCATCTGGCAGAAAGGGGTCTTTCCAATGCTCTGGTTATTCTCCTGAAACTGTGGTGGTGCTGGGGATTGAACCCAGGTCTTCACCCACGCTAGGCAAGCACTCTAACACTGAGCCACATCCTCATCTCCTTTTCAGGGGAACACCTAAACGACCAGGGAGAGTTTTCAAATTCCATTGAGTGAAACCAACAACAGTCTCCAAGGGACTGGAATTTTTCTAAGAATCGTATGCTGCAGCAAGGGACAGATTGAAGTCTGATGCCAGCCATGCGGGTATAGTGAGGAGTATACACTTGTATCCCCGAGAGTCCACATGTTTGTGATGACATTGTGGAGCCAAACAATAATGGGGCAATGATGGGCAGGACCACACAATGACCAGGACTGCTTGGTCTTATACACCTTTTCCCTCTATTTAAACCTAAAGCTCATGTCAGGACCCTGATGGCAGACTTGGAGTGACCAAATCTCTTTGTTCGTCTTCCCGATGTAGCCACATAGAATGAATCTCTCTCTCCATTTTCTCTCTTCTTTGTCTCTCCCATTAGTGTGGTGGGGATTTGTAGGCAGAGCTTTTTGTTGGGACCGAGATCAGCTCTGTTTCACCAGCAGCTTCCCAAATAACCACTCAGAGACTTATTATTAATCATAAATGCATGGCTGATAGCTCAGGCTTATTACTAACTAGCTCTAACAACTGAAATGAACCCATTTCCATTCATCTATGTGCTGTCCCATGGCTCGTGGCTTTTTACATCTCCTGAATGTTCTGTTTTCTTTCCATCTGGTTGGTGACTCCCCTTATTCCATCCTTCTCTGCCCTGAATCCTGCCTAGCTATCAGCCAATCTGTTTTTTTGTTAACAATGAAAGCAACATATTTTCACATTATACAGAATGATTATTTCACAGCAGAAATGTGTGCTGTTTGCTCCCCCAGTGCTGTGATAAAATGCTGATTTGTGAAGAAAAGAGTTTATTTCAGGTTTTAGTTTATCATTTAAGGAAGTCAGGGAAGGAACCTGGAGGCAAAGAACTGAATCATAGACCATGGAGTAACCTTACTTTCTAGTTTGCTTCCGGGCTCATGTTCTGTTACCGTTCTTTTTTTTTTTTTTTTTTTTTTAAATAGAGTTTCTCTGTAGCTTTGGTGCCTGTCCTGGAACTAGCTCTGTGTAGACAAGGCTGGCCTCGAACTCATAGAGATCCGCCTGCCTCTCTCTCCCTAGTGTTGGGATTAAAGGCGCGAGCCACCACCACCCAGCCTGTTACCGTTCTTATATACCCCAGGTCTACCCTGCTCAGGGATGGTACTGACCACAGGACTGGGCCCGCTACATCAATTAGCAATCAGACAAATGTACCCACAAATATGCCTGTAGTCTAATTTGATGGAGGCTTCCTCAATTGCTTCTCCCTAGATGTGTTAAGTTGACAATTAAGATTAGCCATCACAGGGTGTGTGGCTGAGGCTAGCCTGTTGGGACAGTTGGATCCAAGAGTTTTGCCCTATTAATTCTAGTTACAATTTTGAACCAATATCCTTGAGTCTTTTAATCTAGAAGAGTTTGCTGTTACTAGTCTCCTGGATGTTTAAAACCTCTACAATTTAAATGTGTCAAATGTACCACAACTCACATCAACAGAGCTCAGCTAGGGGTAGTATTTCATCTAGGGAACACTGGACAGAATCTGGAGGCATTTTCAGTGATCACATTTAAGGCCTCGGAATGCACAGGACACACACATACACGCACGCACGCACACACATACCAAGGAAATAACTGGGCCAGAATTTCAATAGTGCTGAGGTTGGGAAAGTCTAATCCACTAATTTGCTTATAGGAGTAATCACTTCCTCAACTAGAATGGGATTCTGTAGAGACATCTGTCATATAGGGCCCTATCCTGGAAAATCGAAGTCAGTAAATACTCAGCTAGCAAATCACCAGGTGGGTGAGGCCAGCTCCCAGTAGGCGTCTTCTCTGAACAGTTGGCTCCTTGGAACAGGAGGGTCAGTAAGGTCACGGAGGCTGGGACGTGGAGACACGCCTGGAATATTTGGAATGACACAACTTCACTGGGCAGGCAACACAAAACCCAAAGGTTCAGTCTGCCTTTATTTTAATTATCTGCACAGTGCCTACAATGCCCTCAGCTTCTCCCTCCATTGAATGAATATCACCAAACACAATTGTGATTTGTATTTCATACTGTATACGCGCCATTTCTATTACAAGTGATTTCTTCCCCTGCTAGCAAAGGTATTCCTTATCAGGATTAGTCCTTTAGTGTTTATTTATTTATCTGATGTTTTGTTTGTTTTGGTTTGTGTTTTGTTTTGTTTTTCCTTTTGGGAGCCGACCTCATTCTATACCCCAGGTTGACCTGAGACTTTTAACAATCCTCCCGCTTTTGCAACGCTGGGATTACAAAGCTGGCTTTTTTATTTTAACTGTCTTAACTGGGTCCAGGACCAAAACCTGCGCTTGGTCAGCATGAAGTCTGTTGCCTACTTCACAATGTCACCTAGGGCACCCTGGACCAACTCACAATGTTGCTTTCAGTGAGCCCTGCCCAGAAATGGGGTCTCGACAAGAGGATCAGGGGTAGATGCGCTTCGAGCCCAGTGTGAATCAGTTCTGGCCAATGAAGCCAAAGCCCGGAGGTGTGGAACTCCTGAGGTTAGACAGGCTGGCGCTAGAGGCCCTGGTTCCTGACGGATGAGAACCCTCCGAGAAGACAGAAAGCCACAGAATCCGATCTGCGTGTAGGCAGAGGCATGAGACCCAAAGCTGCCTGGGGTACCTCATCTCCTGCCACAGGGGCCAAGGTTGCCTTGAACTGATTTCTTAGCCCTGAGTCCCAGCCTGCAGGAGGCGGCCAGAAGCCACGCAGCTCCCGAACTTCCCAAAAGCGCTGCTTTCTGGGCCCGGCCCACAGGTGACTAGAGGGTCAGACCAGACGGAAAGGATCCGCCTCTCCTAGCCTGGGGCTCAGAAGGGCGAAGGTTGGTTCCCAAGGCCACGTGAAGCGCCCAAACCGGCAAAACTAATGCCAGAAAAAAGTTAAGATCGCCCAGGCCTCAGCAACGAAACGTCCCTCTGTCACCCCCAAGTGCTGCTCTTGCAACAGCTGTCACCGCCGGCGCCAGTGGGACCTAGTCCAGCCCGACAGAGGTCACAGAGGAGGAGCGATGTCCCACCGCAGTTCTGGCAGGAGCCTCGGGCCGCCAGCGCCGCAGCTGCTGCTGCTGCCCTTGCTGCTGCAGCTTCCCTGGGCAGCCGCCGTGCGCCAACATAAGCCACCAGGTAAGCAAAACTAGGGGCCGCGGATTGGGGGCGCCGCCCCGTAACCCCAGGGCGCCGCCCCGTACCCCCAGCGCGCGCCCGCGGCTGGCCAGAGTCCCAGCAAGTTTGCACCCAGGGGCGTCTTGGGTCGCACTTCTTGGTGGGCAGCCTGGCGCGTTGCGCTCCAGACCGGCCGTAGATCAGCCAGCGGTGGCTTTTAAGGAGGGAACTAGGAGTCTCAGCCAGCGGTGGCTTTTAAGGAGGGAACTAGGGGTCTGCCAACTTAAAAAAGTTTTGGCCTGAGTTTTTGGCACAGCCAGAGCAGATCCAAAGGGCTCCAGTCAAAAAGGAATCTAAGTGTGTTTACCCAGATCGAACGGAGGTGTGATTTGAGGCCGGCCTGTGTTCTGCTTCTAAAGGCAGGCAAGCGACTTCGGCTTAAGAGAATTGATCGCAAACTGGTAATACGTGACAGGGACAAAACAGAAAAGAGCGATGCTCATTCCTCCAAGTGGCCTCGTAGACCAAAAGAGGGCAAAAAAAAAAAAAAAAAAAATCTCCGTTCTACAGCCCAAAGAGCCGGGGACGGGACTGGGAGGAAGTCGGGAATTTGCACAAAGATAAGACAGCTGGGTTGCCAGAGGGCCGTGGTGTAACCTCTTCCTGTCAGTAAGCAGGTCTCAACAGGCGGCCTTCCAATCTTATCCTTCCATTTGCAAAAAGACCAGAAAGAATTGTGGGTTGTGCAGACTTGGGAGACTCCAAAAGCCAAATTTGGAGAAGACGAATTCAATTTCAAAATCTTCTCCATACTGACCTTGCCCAAGGACTAGCTGGGACTTGGGCTGGGTCCCCTTCCCAAAGTCGCTCAGATTCTTGTTACCAGCCATCGACACGGACCCGCACCCTGGAGATTTTGAGGCGTTTGCTTTCAAAACCGACTCCAGTCATTCTGGTCCCGCATCTTTCCAGTAAGCGCTGGTCTGTGGCATCAGAAGACAGCAGTCCAGAAGCACCTGAGTTAGCTGCACATTGTTTCGTCTCCCCGACCACCACACACATACACACACACACACACACACACACACACACACACACACACACTTTTAGTCTTGAGAAATGGTCCTCACTGCAGACAGCAGTCCTGAAAGGCCCCTCCACGTGGGTATGAAGACAGTTAAGGATGTTTGCAGTGCTATTTGAGATGCAGGTGATTTCCTTTGTTCCTCTTTATGGATCTGTTCATCTCAGTGTTGATTCTGTACTGGTGATTTCCTCAACCTGCAGGCACACTACCTAAAATCTGAGTCGTAAAAAAAAAAAAAAAAAACAGGGACTTGGCTCTCTCCCTGTGCTCCCTGAAGTACCTAGCTCAGTTCTGTGAGCTCAGCCAGCTTTTGTCCTAACGTTTCATAGGGAGAGGTGAACTAATATGGACTCACCCCAGACAAGGCGCCCCCTGAGCCATCCTGCTGGCCCACTTCTTATGTTTGAATTTGGATTTCTTTTTATTCTAGAAATTGGCGAATTTATTTTGCAGTCACCTCTTCATGTCGTTGTAGTTACAGCACACAGGTGGCAATGGGACCTGTCTTTGAAGACTGAAAAGCCCATAAGTATTTTTAAGAACATCCTTGTCTGGTTTTGCTGTGGATGTGTGTTCAGTACTGGGGATTGAACCCTGGTCCCCATGAATGTTCAAACATTCCCCTCTGTGATGGAGCAACCCCACCTCAACTCGTGCCATTCGAGAATAATCCTCCAGGCCAAGTCGGGTGGTCACTAGAGAGAGATGGGGCAACCTCTCTGAGACCTAGAATATAGCATCTTCCTTCTTGAAACTGGTTCCTCACCTGACCGTCAGCCTTACAGGGCAAGACTCCAGAAGCCAGTATTTGCAGCATAGCAGCTGTGATCAGATCTCTGGGAGCCAGTTCACCCTGATACACACCCAAGTCTGTTCCCAGACTCTTCATTAAGTATTCATTGGAGATATAACTGTCGGGCTGACTGGGTGCTCCTGCAGCCTGCTTCAGGCATATTCTTCCTGCCACCAAGACACACGGTCGACATTATTGAGTTCGATGTCTGGGGGCCTGGCTCCTCTCCCCTCAGTAGAACCTGGAATCAGCTGGTAGCGTTTGTCTGATTGAGCCATCTGACCAAATGGTGGGTATCTGCCTGGCCACATATCCAAGCCTCACCAATGCGCTCCTACTACCCTAAATGTCATTTTGGTCTCCTGGAGGTGTAAAGGCCGACCACTGGTTGAGTCCGACCTCAATGGCTACTTTAACTCTGAATTCACTAAAGTGGGTCTCATGGTTGCTCCATGGATTTATTTTTAACACAGAAGTTCTTTATTACCTTTTATTCTTTTAAAGACAGAATATCACTGTGTAGCCCTGGCTAGCCTAGAACTCATTGTGTAGACCAGGCTGACCCAGAACTCAGAGAGATTCACCTGCCTCAGCCTCCCGAGTACTGGACTTAAAGTCATGAGCCACCACACTGGAATGGCCTTGTTGCCCTAAACACTGTTCCAATTGCTCCTGTGTGCTGTTTTAGCTCGAAAGGGTGACTGGTGAGTTACTGCTTCTTTGTACTAGGGCAAAAGAGGAACTTACTTAATATTGTTAAAAAACAAAACAAAAAGAGATAGAGGTAGTGAAATTATGGGGAAATGTTTGTGCAAAGCAAAAGTTGTAACTCTGTGTCTGCGTTGCTGCAGATGCCGTGGACATGTGTCAATCTTCCTGGGGGGAAGTTGTGGAAGTCTTTTGATTGAGATTTGAAAAGAGAATAAATAAATCCCTGAGAGAGACTGTCTTGCCGCGAAAGGCCTCCGTCAGCCTGGCGGGTGCTGCCGTGGGCCCAGCACAAAGGGCTGACCAGCGACCTAAGCATTAGTCTCTCTTTTTTTTTTTTGGTTTTTCGAGACAGGGTTTCTTTGTAGCTTTGGAGCCTATCCTGGAACTCCCTTTGTAGACCAGACTGGCCTCGAACTCACAGAGATCCGCCTGCCTCTGCCTCCCGAGTGCTGGGATTAAAGGTGTGCGCCACCAACGCCCGGCAGCATTAGTCTCTTTAAGATGCTGTAAACTCAGATGACCAACATCCTAATTCATAATTTGAAATCGTGAATCAATATCCAGAGACCAGTGAGATTGCGCAACCAGAAAGGCTCACGGGGCACAAGGCTGACCTGAGTTTGATCCCTGGGACCTGCATAGGGTAGAGGGAGGGAGATACCTGGCTCCACTCTCTAGGTGCTGGGACACACACACTCACATACATCAGTGTGCTGTGAATTCCATGTGTGTGTGTTCCCATGTGTGCCCTTCCAGTTTGGGATTGAGGTGGCCGTGTAATCAAGAAAGAATTGTGGTAGGCCTGAGGGAGTGGATGTGTTGGCAGATGAGACTCATCTCCCATTCCCAAGGAGGTCGTGATGGAGATTATTGGACCAAACACACACAAATATCTCTCATTAATGAGGGCTCTTGATGAGCCGTGACTCAGAGGGTCAGATCTGCCAGGCATGGTGACACACACCTTACTCCAGAACTCGGAAGGCAGAGGAAAGGTGATCCCTTAAACTGAGGCCCACCTGGGCTACACAGCAAAAACCAGGCCAGCCAGGGCTGTGACACTTTCCCCAAAAGAGAGCGAGTGGAGAGTGTAGGTAGGGCTGGGGGAGGGGCACGCCAAATCAGAATGAGGCCAAGTGGATGTTCAAGGGGGTAAAAACGAGGGACCATTTGGGGCCTGAGAAAACTCCAGTTATTCCTGCATTCTTGTTTTGTTGTTCCCTAACTGGTTTGTTTGTTTGTATGGGGACGGCATCTCACTATGGAGCTCAGGCTAACTTCAGATTCCCAGTGGTCCCCTGTCTCAGCATCCCAAGTGCTGGGGTTCCAGGAGTGAGCCACCATGACCTGCTGTTCCTCTCCCATTTTTGGGATGGGGTACCACACACTACTTCAGCGGGGCCCGGGAAGGTCAGTCCACAGTTGGGCATACTCATTGGCTTCCTCTAATTGGCAATTCCCCAGGAGGAATTTACCCAAACAACCTTCCTCTGAGCCTACACCAAGCTGAACACATACCATTTTCTTGCCCGGACACTGCAAAACTCACAAGGCAGTTATTTCATCAGTAACTGATGAAGACTCAAAGCAAATCTAGAAGTCAGAGAGCAGTTTCTTGGGGGCCCTTGTAGGAGGAGGAGGTATGAAGACTTACCACACAAGCGAGGCGCACGAGGTAGAGGAAGACAGACTGAGGCACTTCAGTGAGTCGCCACCCAACCCGAACAGAATAAACCTCAACCTTGGGCCTCTTACATTTGCAAACATAATTACAAGAGAGATATTAGGCCAGCCTCTCTGAAGGAACTGATGTTTGAATAAACTTGCTTTTCCTTAGAAGAACGAGCACAGAGCTGAGAATTGTATAGCTTGGAAGGAGGAGACCAAAGGGTCAGGAGTTCAAGGTCTTAGAGGGAGTTAGAAGGCAGCCTGGCCTACATGAGACCACCTCAAAACACATAACTAGGGCAGGCGACAGGCGACACATCTCAGTAGTTGAGTGCACTAGCTCCTGCAAAGGACTAGGGTTTGATCCCCAGTACCCACGTGGAGGTTCATTACCATCTTTGACTACAGTTGCAGGGGACCTAACACCTTCTTTTGCCTTCCAAATATGTCAGGCACACACAGGCACCAGACGTGCACTCATAAAAGAAATCTAAAAAAAAAAAAAAAAAAAAACCACCAAAGAGAATCCCCAAAGAAAGGTCATTTTGTGGGGAATAGCAGCCCTCGGCAGAGGTGGGCAGATACGGTCTTCGCCTTCAAAGGACTGCTGCTGAAAATGAGGTTCGAGTTAGAAAGACACAGCATCTCCTCCCACCAGTCCACCTTCTCCAACATCTGCCCCCGCGTAGATATGCTCTTCAACATGGATGATGAGTTAGCATGCTAAGGGGGTTGGAAAAAGATAGTTGAGACGCTAGAAAACAAGAAGGAATTGATAGACATCATGGAACGAGTGAAGTTATTAAAGGCGGATCAAAACCCTCAGGCTTAGGATTAATCCCAAAGACATGTCCTGTGGGTAGTAAGCTGGTTTTGGTGACATCTTCTTAAGGATGGGGTGGAGGTGTCTTCACGCGGAGGTTTGTTGGTGTCGGAGAAGCTGACTTTTGTGGTCAGGGATGCAGGTGGCTCCAGCAAGAGTGAACTGAGCCCTCGAATGCTTCTCTTGCCTGCGGCAGCCTCAGTGTGCAGAAAAGGGTTTGGGAGAAAGTTGCATTGACTTGAGCTTAGAAGAGAGAGCAGGAAGGGAAGAGGCCTGTGGGCTCACTTGCCTTCCCCCTTTCTCTCATGGTTCCCCTTTGGTGATTTCTCCCAGCCTCAGTTTTTTGTGGTAAAGTCAGGCCTGGTTCCTCATTCCAGGGGTGGGGTGGTGGTGGTGGTGGTGTGTGTGTGTGTGTGTATCGGAGAGGGAGAGACTCAGAGAAGGGATCAACTATAGCTTCTGGAGTCAGGAAGAAACTTGGAGAACAGACTCTTTATATTTGGGAAGGGAATTTTAAGATGTGCACAGCTGTCGATTATGGCTGCTCAGTTTCATTAGCAGCTCATTGTCTATTGCCAGGATTAGTGAGAGGTGTGTTTGTGTGCATATGTGCGTGCATGTGTGTGTGTATACTATTGTTGTTGTTGTTGTTTTGAGACTGTTGTTTTTCTCTGTAGCCCTGACCAGCCAGGTACTAGAAGACTGTCCTCAAACCTGCAGAGATCCTCCTGCCTCTGCCTCCTGATGCTGGGATTGCAGCTATATGCAACCATGCAAGATCTGCCAGGAATGTAATGCAAACCTTTGCTTCCATTTAACCCTTTGTAAAGGCCTTCTGCTTGGGTCTGATGACATATTTGCAATTCCAGCAAATGGGAGTCTGAGGCAGGAGGGTGGTGAGCTCTAGTCCAGCCTGAGATCCATACCGAGTGTGTGCCTCAGGCAGTCAGTAACAACAAAAATCCCTCCTTTCCAGGATATAACTGTGGTTGGTCTCAGCCTGTGACCCTGTTCGTCTTCCGGTTCAGTGTGCATGGTGATTCTTACAGATTCCAGGATCCCAGTGGGGATGGTGCCACCCGCAGTGGGTGGGTCTTCCCACATGATTCCAGATTCTGTCGAGTTGACAGTTAGCATTTACCACTACACAGATGGCCAGCACCCCACTAGACTCTCCTTCCGCTGCTGTTTCCTGAGCACCAACTCTGTGACAGGGACTCTATCTGCTGGGAGAGAAACTGTCTCTGGATTTGAGGGGTTCGCCAGGTAGGGTTAAGTGTAAAGGAGTGGGGACAGTGGCTCCTGTGAGGCGGGACAGTTTGCTGAGTCCTCACTAACCATTTCCAGAAGGTTAGAGTGGTAGGAAGAGAGGGAATATCAGGAGGAAGAAATGGCATCTCACATCAGGAGAGCTGAGCCAGTTCCTGGCAGGGCGGAGAGCTGGATGCACGGGTACCAGAGGGATCGGCCTGGAGATGCTACAGCTAGACGCCGGGACACGATATGGATTGTGAGACCAAGAGGAGGGACTAAGGAACTGATTTTTAATTTTTTATTTTTTTAGTATTTATTTTGGGATAGGATCTCACTAAGCTGTACTCAAACCTGAGATCCTCCTGCCTCAGCCTTCCAAATCCTGGGATGATGGGCCAGCATGGGTCACCATGCCTGACCATTCCTGGCTTCAAATGGGAATCTCTTTCTCTCCCCTCTCTCTGTGTCTCTCCTTGTGTGTGCATGTGTGCGTGCATGTGTGTGTGTGTGTGTGTGTGTGTGTGTGTGTATGTTAAGCCTGTGGTTAGCCACAGATGTTCCTTGGGATGCTGTCTATGTCATTTAGTTTCAAGACAGGTTTTATACTAGCCTGAGGCTAGACTAGCCTGCGAGCTACTGGCAGCCAGTACTGGAATTACAAACACATGTCACCACAACTGGATTTTACTAGGGTGCCGGAGATCAAATTTGGGTCCTTACGTTTGCTCGGCAAATATTTCACCGACTGAGCCATCCTCCCAGCCTGTAGGATAGAAATCTTTAAAAACAAACTCTGACATTGGTTACACGGGGGAAAGGCATGGGCCTTGGCTGAGTGGCGCCCCTCACGGCTCCCGTTTCCTTCAGGAATCTACTATGCAACTGCATACTGGGTACCTCATTCGAAGTCAGTGGAAGTCAAGAACGTGCTGGACAAGAATGGGGATGTCTACGGCTTCTACAATGACTCCATTACAGTCACAGGCTGGGGCATCCTGGAAATCAGAGCTGGTTATAGCTCTCAGATCCTGCCCAATGAGATCATCATGTTTCTGGCCGGCTACCTCGAGGGCTACCTCACGGCTCCGTAAGTACCCTATCTCTTTACTTTGCCCAACCGTGGCTCCTGGACCCTGGCATGGTGTGTTAGAAGTGGAAGGTAGCTGGGGTGCACTTGCTAGGTTAACAGCACCCCACTTGTACCCATCATAATCATACCCGCCCAGAAAACACAAAGCACCCAGGTCGGGCACCCACTCCTTTTCATAACACTTCTTTCTTGAAATCTACTTTTTGTTTTTTTTTGTTGTTGTTGTTTTGTTTTTGACACAGTTTCTCTGTGTAAAGCCTCTGGCTGTCCTGGAGCTCACTTTGTAGACCAGGCTGACCTTGAACTCACAGAGATCCTTCTGCCTTTGCCTCCCCAGTGCTGGGATTAAAGGTGTGTGCCACCACCATTATGTGCAGTGTATACACTTGTCCATATGAGTGTGTGCATTGTGTGCAGGTGTGCCTGCACGTGTGCAGAGGCCAGAGGTTGGTGGCGTCTCCCTTGGTCACTCTCCACTTTAATGTTTTGGAGACCAGGGTTCTCTCTGAACCTGAAGGGCTTTGATTCAACTAGACTGGACAGCCAGTGGGCACCAGGCACAGCTGCTCCTGTCTCCTCCTTTCCAGCACTTTGGGTTTTTGTTTATTGTTTGTTTGTTTGTTTGTTTGTTTGTTTTGAGACAGCATCTCACTTTGTAGCTCTGGCTGTCCTAGAACTCACTCTGTAGACCAGGCTAGTCTTCTGCTCACAGAGATCTGCCTGCCTCTGCCTCCCAAGTGAACGCTGAGCTTAACGGCATATACCACTGTGCCAGGCTGCTTAGTTTTCATTTTTAAAAAGCAGCTATGATTCTGTAACTACAATTTGTTTTGTTTTTAATTGATTGGCTTTATTTTGTTTTTGAATAAAATCTTATGTTTTGTCTCTGTGGGTTTTGTTTAGCTTTGTTTTTGTTTGGGGGGTTTGGTTTTTTGTTTGTTTCTTTTGTTTTTGTTTTTGAGAAATGGTCTCACTGTGTAGCCTTGGCTGTTTTGGAACTTGTCACGTAACCCAGGATAACCTCAAACGCCTCAAACACACGAATATTCGTTTGCCTCTACCTCCCAGGTGGGAGGATCTGGGCATCGTTGCTGCTGCAACAAGCGACCTGGTCAGACATCCAGTATCTGCAGCAGCTCTGCCGCCCTGCTTACTGAAAGGCAGACACTGGCAGGAAACTCAGCATGATGGTGTCTTCAGATCACCTCTGGGCTCGGCACAGAGCTGCCCAGAGTTGGCTGCTTGCACAGCGACTGTGTGTCCTTCACACCCCTACTTGGCCGAGGGCTGGGGAACTGATAGCAACCGTGTCCCTCTTTCTCTTCTGATGTGGCCCCAGAGATGGGGTTTCTTACCCAGTCTGCTGTACAAGCTAGCTGTTAAGGCCTACTCAGTGGAGTAGCTAGGCTGACTCGCAGGATCACGGGTTCCAGCTGCTGGTGCCAGCAGGATTCCTAGGATGGGAACTCGATGCTGCCTAGTTCACTACCACTAACTGAAAATGTACTAACCGTCTAGGGTCAGTGTTATAATTTGAATGTAAAATTGCCCCCCACACCCCGGCTGGTGGCCCTGTTTGGGGGAAGTTGTGGAAACTTTGGACATGGAGCCTAGTTGGCAGGTGCAGGCTTATAGAAGTCAAATTTAAGGGTTATAAGCCAGCTCCATCCACTTTGGACTGTGCATCACTGCTTCCTCCCCCACACAATCTGAAGATCCCAGCCACAGGCTCTTACTGGCATGAAGTCCACCCCCTACACTATGCTAGACTGCCCCCTCTCAAGGGATGGGTAAAAATAAATCCTCCCTCCCATGGGGTGCTGCCTTGGGGTACCCTGTCCTAGCAGCCCACCCCACAGGTAGTAGGGCTTCTACTTCACTTTCTTTATCTTATGTAGCCTAGATTGGCCCATAACTCACTGTATAGCTAAGGATAACCTTAAACTCCTGATCCTCCTCCCTCTACCTCCCAGGTCCTGGGATTATAGGCCTGTGCCGTCATGTCTCAGTTGAATGCTGTCCTGTTGGTTTGTTTGTTTGTTGTGTGTGTGTTGTGTGCCACGTTTGTGTGTGACCCCAGAGGCCAGAAGAGGGCATCAGATCCCCCAGAACCGGAATTATAGGCGGTTGTGAGCCACCTGATGTGGGTGCAGGAAGCACACTCAAGTCCTTTGCAAGAACAGGAAAAGTCCTAACCACCAAGCCATTTCTCCATCCTCCAAAGATGTCTTCTTGATAAAGTTTCTTATGACTGTCTCCCCACTGACTTATGGCTCCATCTCTTCCCTCTACCATCTGTAGCACCTTGAAGGTGGGGTCCCTGTTTTAACCACGCTTATGCACCCAAACACCTGGCTTGGCACTTCTGCCCACCTGTTAATTATATGCTCATTAGATTTAATTGAATCTTGTTGTTGCAGTTGATGAATCAGAAGGAAGAGCGTGTATTTCCATACAACACAGCAAGCTGGAGCCCCAGCCATGCTGAGTTTCTTCCTTCATTTTTGAAATTGATTGAGCAGCTCCCTAAGAGTTGTAAATTCAGTCTCCTGTGTCTCCCTGGTGATCTAAATGTTAAGCGACCTTGGATAGGTCATTAATAATATGAGGCATTGAAAGCTTTCTGGGGAGAAAAGGGATGAGGGTGTGGGGTCCTAGGATGCTCTCTCTGGTTGTTTAAATAAAGTGGCTTTAAAAAATGGGGTGTCCAAGACAGCTCCTGAAGCCTCCTCCTCTGCAACTTCCCTGCTGGAAGGAGTGGATTCAGTGCCCCACACACCTGTTTTGTTGCTCAGAAGGGAGAGACAGAGGTGGGCACAAGAGCATTCTTTGGTGGAGAGAGTTTCCATGTTGACACAACTGTTGCTAAGGCCGGTAAAGTTTACCAGCACCATGGTCCCAAGAGAATCGGCAATCAGTCCATCTCTTGTGTTTGGGCTACTGTCAAGAAACGCCTCAAGAATTTCTTCCACGTGCCAGGCTTGCTCCTTTTGTTTTGAGATGCTCCCAAGTCAAGTCTATAAGCAAAGGCCAAAACGAAGCTAGAGCCCCACCCTCAAAACGATCTAATGCACTATGGACTTGGAACTATCTGGAGCTTTGTGAGGACCACTGAATACAGAAGGCAGGATGACAATCCCGAGAAGTAGGCCAGTGGCCACTGCCAACTAACTGCAAGCATTTATCAAGGGTGCCGTGTTCCAGTAAGTGTTCAAAGAACATGAAGTCTTCATGTTAACTTCAGTCTATGCTAATTCTATGTTCACTGCTGGCCACATACGAGGACCATGAAAACCTGGGCACAGAGAAATGTTTTAGGTAGTTGAAAGAAAGTCAGTAAGTAGGCATCTTAGTAAGGGTTTCTATTGCTGTGATGAAACCCCATGACCAAAAAGCTTATCTTCCCTATCATAGTTCATCTCCAAAGGAAGTCAGAACAGGAGCTCAGCCAGGGCTGGCTCCTGGAGGCAGGAGCCGATGGATGCCGAGGCCATGGAGGGGGGCAGCTTACTGGCTTGCTCCCCGTGGCTTACTCAGCCTGCTTTCCATAGAAGCCAGGAACACCGGCCCAGGGATGTCCCCACCCACAATAGTCTGGGCCCTCCCTCATCAATCACTCATTGAGAAAATGCCCGTGTGAGACATTTTCTCAGTTGTCTCCTCCTTTCAGAGAACTCTGAAGTTGACATCAAACTAGTCAACTCAGTGGGGTTCCAGACTGGAAGCCAGGCTGTTTACAGTCAGTTTTTCCATTTGTACAGACACGTGCATGTAGGTTAATGACTGTGGAAAACACTCAGGCCGCCTGTCTGGTCCCTGGCGCAGGAGAGATGCAGTGAGTGGCAACTGCTACTTGGTGTGATGTTGTCATGGGGCGAAAAGATGCAGGAAGAGATGGATGCTCGCGTGTCCTCGAGATCTTCAGTGTCTGAGTGTGTGTGACAGGCAGAGATGAGCAGTGTTAACCCACAGAGGAGGGCACGCTGCAGGACCCGGAACTAAGCTTGAGAGCTCCATGAAGTTCGCGCTAGCGTCAGCTCCGCTGCACGAGACGCAGAACCATGGAAAAGTCAGGGTTCTTGCTTTTAGTCTTCAACCAATGTAGAAGCAAGCTTTGAACTCAGTATTCAGAGTCAACGTCCTTGGAGTAATGCGCTTGCCTTTGCAAGGATGAAGACCTGAGATTTATCCTCCAACCCAAGTAACAGAGTAGTAAGATGGTGCTTGCGGGAGGCAGAGACAAGCACATTGCTGGGCTCGCGACCACCAGCTCAGCCTGCATGCTGAGTCCAAACCATAGGGAAACCCTGTCTCAAAAATAAGGTGGAAAGTGCCTGAGGAACAAAATCCTTGGTTATCTGCTGGCCTCCATATGCGCGCACACACATGCATGCATGCACACACACACACATATGAGTCTGTGTCCTTGCATGGTATCAAAGATGGGTGTTGGAGAGATGGCTCAGCACGTGAGAGCGCTCGCTGCCCTTCCAATGGTCCCAGGTTCAATTCCCAGTACCCACATGGCCAGCTCACAACTGTCTGTTACTCCAGTTCCCGGGCATCTGACACCTTCACACCAATGCACATAAAATAAAGTTAAATTACTTTTTAAAAAAATTGTTTAAGCAATAAGTAGTGATATGGGAACTAAATCAAGCAATAGAGTGTAACACTAGAGAACAAAGACTTGGAATTCAGTAGGCAAAGTTCGACTCCGCCATCCTGGGCTAGAGTCTATAAGCAAGATTCCGACTTCTCTGTCGTTATAATCTCATTCCTCCAGATGGCGGTCTTAGAGGAGCTGTCGTTATAATCTCATTCCTCCAGATGGCGGTCTTAGAGGAGCCACTCCACGTAACCCACATAGGTGTGGTGTAAACATGCTTCTCCCTTCCTCCACTGACCAGTGACCCCCTCCCCGGGATGGGCCTATGCGCCTGAGCATCTTGTAGGAAGGAGGAGGTTTAGTCAGTGGTTGCGTGATGCCATTACCCAGCACCCACCACAGTAGAACAATCTCTTTTATTCTTTTGTCTTTTTTTTTTTAAATCATCCAATACATGATAAGACTGACATACTCTCCATGGTCTCCATCTGTGCACTCATTGCTACCTGCGATTTCAATGGCCATCCCCTGCGTCTTCCGGCATCTTCTCCCTTCACCCAAGGCCACTCAGAATATTTGGTTGTCTCCTGAAACTCGATGAGATGCGTAAGGACAGCTTGGACTAGGAACCCCTAAATCTGTTGCCCTGAGAAACCAGTTCAAATCATCTCTGGCCCCAGGGTTCACCATTTGTTTTTCATCTGTGACAAGACACTTGAGCAACTGTAAGGGGAAAAGGTTTGTGGGCTCCTGGTGTCAGAGTGTCAAGCCCTGGTCGTCTGGGCCCGTGGAACCCGTGTGTCAGCTGGGAGCCTCACAGGAGGGCGCTCTATTAGTGACTTTCCCCTTTACTGGTATAAAATGCTCACAAGAAGCAACTTTAAAGGGGGGGGAGATATTTGGGGGAGGGGATACAGCCCATCATGGCCGAACAGGCAAGGCCATAGGAGTTGCCTGTGGCTGGACCAGGAGCAGCTGTGCGGGTGGTTACATGGTGTCCAGAGTCAGCACAGGGCTCCAGTGGAAGGGATGACCCCGTGACCCAGAACCCTCTAGCCCACTCCAGCAGCCCCACCTCTGAGTTCAAGCTAAGTGTCCAAAAGATTCCACGATGTCCCAAAATAGCACTGCCGGCAGGGGATCAGCTGTTCACAGCGGGAGCCCCTGGAGGACATGTCACCTTCAGACCACAGACCGCAGTCGGCTTATGACATTGTCCTTCTCTGCGTCCCACATTAATTTTAACTATTGTTGTTGTTGTTGTTGTGTGTGTATGTGCATGTGCACATCCAAGGAGTCAGAGGAATGTTGGATTCCTTGGAGCTAGAGTTATAGGTAGTTGTCAGCTTCCTATGTGAATGCTGGGATTGAACTCAGGTCCTCTCCGTGACTAATTCGCACACTTGACCACTGAGCCGTCTCTCCAGTCCCACCACCTTCTTTTGTAAGGCAAAGTCTCTTCCCTGATCCTAGAGCTCACCATATCCCCTGAGCTGGCTGGCTGGCAAGCCCCCAGCAACCACCTCTCTGCATCTTCCCATCACTGGGGTTACGATCACATGTCTGTGTCGTGTGCTCAGAACCAAACTCAGGTCCTTTGGGGGAGCAGGGGGTGCCCATAACTACTGAGCCATCTCTCCAGCTCCTGAAGATACTTCTTCATTGTAAGCTAGGCATTTGTTTGGTTTAAAGAACGAAGGCGGAGGTTTGCAAGTGGTGAACATTCTAGTTAGCCGGAAGAGAAAGTTATTGCGAGCGCGAAAGCCAACATTAACCGGAATGTAACGCGTTTTCCCTGTCGTTCCAGACACATGTCCGACCACTTCACGAACCTGTATCCACAGCTGATCAAGGACCCTTCCGTCATGGATAAAGTGCAGCGCTTCATGGAGTATGTATAAAAGCTTCCTGCTCTCGCTGCCAGGGCTCCCCTGCGGCCCCTCCCTTGTCAAGCTCCTAGTCTGTCTCTGCAGCAGAGCCTTTCCCGTGGAGCGGGTCAGCTTTGCTGCTTGCTAGCCGCTTCAGCTCTTTCGGAGGTCAGGTTGAAAGTCACATTACCAACAGCTGAACCAGCTAGAAGCCATCGTCAGTGCCAAACAGACAAAGCCATATCTCTGAAGCCCCACACACAGGTGTCCCTTACTTTCTTTCTAGGCATCCCTTCTCCTCACTCCTTAAGGTGTTTCTGTGCCATGTACCCGGCAATTAACTGAGTCGGGTGTTAGGGAATATCTAAATTCCTAGCCTGGAAGGCAAGGAGATGACAGGATCTCACTGTGTAGCCCAGACTGACCTCAAATCCATGATCTCCCTGCCTCAGCCTCTGGAGTACAGAGATTACCCACGTACCCAGTTCTAAAGTCAGACTTCTAATGCTTTCTGGGGATGTTTCCATTTTAATTAAATTTTCTGGGGAGTAAAATTTAAGTATTATTAAATCAGTGGCATGCAGGAGAGTCATCTGGGAGCACAAAGGTTCTTTCCTGCGTGGTCTGCTGATCACACATAAACTCTGCATCTGTGAAAGGCTGAGAGGTGTGCATTGGATTGTCTAAGAATAAAGACGCCCGAAACAAACCAGAAATGCTTTCTGTGCGAAAAATTATGTGAGATCATTAAATCATCCCACAGAAAGAACAGAGAGCTAAAAGTAGTAAAAATGAAAAAAAAAATTTATAAAGCTGTTAAAAATAAAACATCCAGGGCATGGAGAGGTGGCTCCACAGTTAAGAGTGCTTGCCAGTCCTGTAGATGACCTGGGTTCTGTTTCCAGAACCCACATGGAGGCTCACAACCATCTGTAACTCCAGGTCCAGGGGATCCATCGCCCTCTTCTGGCCTCCACAAGTACTGCATGCACAAGGCCCCTTGACAGACTGGCAGGCAAAATACTCATACAGCATGAATTAGTAAATAATCGTTAATATCATTCCATAACGTTGATGCAGATACCAATACTAAACCGAGATAAGATGGAGAGACGAGAGAGAGAGAGAGAGAGAGAAGCAGGACCGTTTTAAACAGCCTCGTCCGACTTCAGCTCTCCTGCACACAAATGCAAAGCTACCCAGCCAGTCTTAGGTGCTGAAGCACTGTAGAGTAGCAGTCTGTGCTTGGCTTTCACGGGTTAGTATCACATGCATAGCTTTCTAGACAAGGCCCCAAAAAAGCTACACAAAGTTAACATCCTGTGGGGACACCGGAAACCGTTTAACGTGTCTACCGAAATCACGTGAGTGGCGGCTGGAATCAAATCTAGAATTTAATTATAGCAGCGTGTGTGCGGCTGTGTGACCTCTAGACTCCTGGTTTGATTTGGCTTCGAGTGAGCTATCATTGAGACCCGTGGTCAAATCAAATTTCTCCTCTAGGAAGCAAGATATGTGGACTCGGAAAAACATCAAAGAACAGAAGGATGACCCATTTTGGAGACACACCGGCTATGTCATGGCCCAGCTGGACGGGCTTTATGTCGGAGCCCTGAAAAGGGCTTACATTGAAAATATGAAGGTAAGACTTTTCAAAGTGTCTCGGAATTCATATGGCCTGAGAGATGGAAAAAAATATTTTGAATCCAAGGTTAGGGATATAGCTTTGTTGTAGAGAGAGCACTTATCTAGAATGTTCTCAGTTCTATCCCCAACGTCATAAACAAAACAAAAACCTCCTCATCTAATTGTTCTTACAGAAGTCCATTTTAATAAATCCAGCTGACAAAACAAACAAACAAGCCAATTATCAAGAGTACAGGGCCAACCTGGGCTACTTAGTTAACTCCAAGCTAGCCTGGGTTTACACAGGGATACTCTATCTCAACAAGAACGACAAACAGGATTCTAAACTACTGTTCAGCACAAAGTTTTGGTGCAAAACACAGCTTGTTTCTACTTTTGTCCAACCTTCTCTCTACACAGCTCATGCTGAGGTTTAAGAGCCAGTTACAAACATACAGGCTTTTTAGCTTACTTGACAGAGTTTTTGTGTTTGAAATTGCCCTCTCATTAAGACAAAAATGTCTTAGTATAGAAATTCTGATCACCACGCCCAGCGATAATCACATAAACACACCAATGTGCAAAGCTATGTGTATTCATTCTGGAAGGAAACTAAGAAACCTTGAGGTGCCTAAGGTAGCAGCTGACATAGTTTCAAAAGTGATGGATAATTTGTGCCCTTGGGGTAATATGTGGGGTTGTGTGAGTGTGTATGTGTGTGTAGATATATACATAGGACAAGATATTTGGAGAAAATTCACCAAAATGATGTTCATAATCCTAAGCCATAAGAGATCACTCTTGCTCATAAATTAGAAATACGACTTAAAGGCTGGGCAGGGTGGCACATGCCTGAAACTCAAGCCCTTGGGGTGAGGAGGTGGATCAGAGTTCAAAGCCACACAGGCTGGTTAGTTTTAACTGTCAACAAACAGAAACTAAGAATCAGCAGAGAAGAGGACTGAGGGACTGTCTAGATCAGGTTGGCCCTGGGCCTGCCTGTGGGAGATGGCCTTGAGGGCTGAGGGGAAAACCCACCCTGAATGGGGGCAGCACCACATGGTGGCCTGTGCCCTGGACGGGGGAAGCGTAGAGAATGTGAGCTGAGTACCAGGCTCAGGAGCAAGCAAGCATTTGTTCTCTGTTGGCTGTGATGCATCTTGACCTCCCTGAAATGATGGACTGCAACCTGGGCTCATAAGCCAAGCAAATCCTCTCCTTGCCTCCACTGCTTCTTGTCCAGTATTGTGTCGCATCAACAGAAACGAAACTGGGACAGCCACCTTCCGCTGCAGAGGGAATTGGAGGCCAGCATGACCTTCATGAGACACTATGTGTGCTCGCTAGTTTTATGTCAGCGTGACACAGGCTAGAGTCATCTGAGACAGCACATTTGTGTGCTGATGTGATTATCGCTGGGTGTGGCCATCAAAATTTATAAACTAAGACACTTTCATCTTAATGAGACAGTAATATAAAACACGAAAACTCGCATTAAGTTAGCTAAAAAAAACTGTATGTTTGTAACCAGGTCTTAAACCTCAGCTTGAGCTGTGTATAGAGAAGGCTGGAACATCATTTAATTAAAAAATGCCTCCATAAGATCTGCTGTAGGCAAGCCTGTAGGGCATTTTCTTATTTAGTAATTGATGGCAGAGGGCTCAAGCCCACTGTGGGTGGTGCAATCTCTGAGCTGGTAGCTCTGGGTTCTATAAGAAAGCAGGCTGAGCAAATCAGTGAGAGCAAGCCAGTAAGCAGCCCCCCCCCCCCCCCCCGCCCCATGGCTTCTGCATCAGCTCCTGCCTCCAGGTTCCTGCCCTGTGTGAGTTTCTGCCCTGATTTCCTTCCGTGAAGGACTATGGTGTAAAAGTGTAAGCCACATAAACCTTTCTCTCCCCAAGTTGCTTTGGTCATGGTGTTACATTATAGTAATAGTAACCATGACTAGGACACTATATAAAAAAGAGAGAAAGAAGAAAGGAAGGAAGGGAGGGAGGGAGGAAGGAAGAAAGAAAAAAAGAGAGGAAGAAAGGAAGGAAGAAAAGAAAGGAAGGAAAAAGAAGAAGGAAGGAAGGAAGGAAGGAAGGAAGGAAGGAAGGAAGGAAGGAAGGAAGGAAGGAAACAATAAGTCTATTGAGAAGATAAGAGCTCAAGTCTCTTGTTTCAGGCATGATGATCTGGGTTCAATCACTATGCAGAGATAGTGGAAGGAGAAAATTGACTTACAAATTGTTCTCTGATGCCCATATGTGCAGTGTGGCATATGTGTATACCACACACACACACACACACACACACACACACACACACACACAGAAACAACTTCTACCCTCCCCCAACACACAAAAATATAAAATATAGTTTAAACATTTTTAAAGAATAAAACCCTAGGGGTCTGCAGGGATGGATCAGCAGTTAAGAGCCCTGGCTGCTCTTGCAGAGGAGCTCCAGTTTAATTCCCTGCGCCCACAATTGGGTTCACATGTTTGTTTAACTCCAGTTCTAGAGGACCTTGTGCCCTCTTCTGGCCTTCTTGGGTACTGCATGTA